ATTGCATTTTATCGCACTATTAATGCCCTTCATTGTCTGAGGGACCCTCCAATTAATATTTGCTATGTACCCTCCATACTTTGGACATGTTGTAAGGAGGGACCAGTCCTTGGAGAGGGATATCATGCTTGGTAGGGTGGAGGGACAGCACAGGAGGGGAAGGCCCTCTAAGAGGTGGATTGATTCAGTGACTGGGGTAATTGGGGTGGGTGTATTGGAGACGGTGCGATTGGCACAGGACAGAGCAGGGTTTAGGGCTGTTGTACATAGGGTTGCTATGAGTCGCAAGTGACTCGATGGCACATAACAACAACAATAACATGTACTATCCTCAACTAGGTGGACCAACATAGGACTGAAACAATGGGCTCAAGCATATAAGAAATGATGAGGATAGCACTGGATTGGACAAGGTTCAGATTCATGGTTAAAAGGCTTGCTATGAGTAGTCGACTCAGTGGCACATAACAAACACAACACCCATCATCAGCTTAATGGTAAGAAGTTGTGCTACCAACTGAAACGCACAGGTTCCAATCCACCAGCTGCTGCATAGGAAAAAAAGGGACAATCTCCTCCCACGTTTATTTCCTGCCTCTGAAAACCTGCTCCATGGTCACTTATGAGTGAGTGAGTTCCCACTCAACTATACACTGCAATGACTGCATATACCACCACAGCCTTGATGACGCAGGGGTTGAAGAACTCAACTACTAACCAAAAGCTCATCAGTTTGAAATCATCAAATCAACAAAAATATGTAGTAGTCTTTTTTCCATAAAGATTTACAGCCTTTGAAACCCTACAGGGTAGTTCTGCTTTGTCCAATATAGGATTGCTTTGCAAATGAAAATTGGGCACTCTTTTCCTGTTCAATTTTTTGCCTCTGAAACCCCACTGGAGAATTGTAACCCTGCTGCAATAACAACAAATGAGTTAGAATCATCAATGAGGTTTTTTTCAGTGTGCCATATGCCAAGATTTATTCTAAATACTCTATATGCAGCAATGAACACTGAAGACAAAAAATATCTAAAATCACTTATTCTGAAAGATGGCATCTGGTATGGAAAAAGAAAACTGAAGTAGGAATTAAGAGACCAAATTCTTCCCAACTACATTTCCACTTCACTCAGAGGTCCTAAGTTTGATTTTCGGTTTTCATAGAAGAAAGGCAGAGAAACTTTCATTCTCATAAAAAATGAAGATGTTTAAGAAAGCAGCAGATCACTGTGAGGTCCTAAGGAAAATCTGTTGTCAAAGATCTCTTCAGAGTGCTAAAAATCAATGATATCAGTCTAGAGACAAAGGTGTGCCTGATTTGAGAGCTGAAAAACAAAAAAGATGACTGAAGAAGAACCGATGGCTTTGAATTGTGGTGCTCAAGAAGAGTACTGAACATAATATGGACTGCCAAGAGAACAAACAGGTATGTCCTCAAGAGAGTGAAACCAAGTTGCATCTTGGAGGCATTTTAAAAGTTCTATCTTACATGCTTTGGGCATGTTTCCAGGAGGAGCCAGTATTAGGAGAAAAGCATCATGGGTAGATGGTCAGTGCAGAAAAAACACCCTGGATGAGATGGATTGACACAGTGACTGAAGTAATAGGGTCAGGTACAGTAAAGTTGGCTTAGGATAGAATAAGGTTCAGAGTCATTTTTCACAGGGTTAGAGTTGTACAGATGGTAGTTGACTCGAAGGCACATAATACAACAACAAGAAATATGCCCAAGGGATGTGAAAACATTGAGTTTAATAGACATATGTACACCATTGTTCACTGCAGCATTATGCACAATAGCCAAAAGTCAGAAGCAATGTAAATGCCCATCAACAGATCAATGTTTACACAAAATTTAATACAAATTTGCAATGAATGGAATACAACTCAGCCAAAAAGATAAATGATTTCTGATAAATGTTCCAATATGCATGAAATTTGAAAATACTATGCTAAGTGAAATAAGGTAATCATAAAAGGATTGTATAACCTCAGTTATATAAAAAGGCAAGAACAGACAAATGTTTGAGACCAAAGTTGAACCGAGGGCATCAGAAGCAGAGCTACTGTTTAGAACATTGAGTTCTGGTTTCTAACGGTGGAGAAAATCATACTGTTTAAGGATAGTGTTACAAGGTTGATTAACGTTAATTGCTGTCAATAAGCTTTATTTTCTCTCTCCTTTATGTCCAGTCAGAGGTGACCTTTCAGTATGTATTCAGAGGCTTTAAACTGCAAGAAAAGAAACTGCTTTTCTCCCAAGGAGTAGCTGGTAGATTCCAACTCCACGCCCCTAGGTTGGAAGCTCAACTCCTTATCCACTAAACCACCAGAGCTCCCTAGAGATGTAGACATAGCCAAACTGGCAAAAGTTGTGTGGTACCTAACAACAACAAAACCAATGGTTTCTGAAGCTGCTTATGTACAACTAAACAACTCACAGGATTTGAGTCCCTCAGTCTGGAGATTTAGGGACATTCCAGTTAGCAAGCCTAATAAAATGTTATGTGCTTCTGTTCTACTCCTTCATTTTCTACATAGTCTCTATAGAGGCTTCAAAGTTTGCAAATAGCCATTCAAGGCAAAATAATGGTCTCTGTTCACCTTCAACAACAGAAGGAGAAGTCAGGAACAGAAAAAGGAAATGTAATGAGTGGCTAATGATCTCCGTTAACAATTACCTCCTTTGCCCTTTTGTTGTTAGAACTGAGTCAGAATTGACTCAGAGTTGACCTTCCAGTGCATTTTCAGAGACTGTAGATCACACAGGAGGAGTTATACTCTGAGATCAGAAAAGGTTAATGATGCCTTCTTATCATTATTCAATGTTTTAATCAAAGATCCTACAGAAGATTCCAGATCAAAACAGAGATAATGCAGATTAGAATTTCACATTTTCATGGAGTCTAGACTTTTGAGGACTGAGGAGGCAATTTTACTGTCCTAGGACAATCACTAAACCATAAATATTCTTTGAATATTATATTTTTGTTAAAAACAAAGTTTCACTTAATGAGGAGTATGCCTACTTTAAGCACTGTGCTCTTTTGAAAACTATCAATATGAAAGAAAACTGAAAACAGCAAATTGAAAAATTAGGATACTTAGGGAGCAAGGAGTTTATGTTAATAGAGAATAACAACTCAGACAAGAAGAATGAAAAAGGTTGACACCTCAAAGAAAGTAATCAATGTTCCTGATACATACATGCAGAAATGGTTGAACTGCAGAATGTTCCAGTCTGTACATTCTGAAAAAACAAAACAACAACAACAACAAAATCTAAGCACATTCCAATTAGAAAGACCCCTGGACCAGATGGTTTTACTAGTGAATTTAATCAAACATTCAGAGAATACCTGTCACCAATTCTACATAAAATGTTTTAGAAAACAAAGATGGAATACTCTCAGACTCATTCCACGTGGCAAACAATATCTCTCATACCAAAGTCAGGTAAAGGCAACAACAAAATGGAAAACTATAGACCAATATCTCTCATGAACATAGATGCAAAAATCCTGGACAACAGAATCCAACAGTAGTTCAAAAAAATAATTCATTATGACCAAGTGAGATTCATAATTTTACAAGAAACATAAACGCAGGCTATATACATGGATTTCACCTGATGGTGTGCATAGGAATCAAATAGATTACATCTATGGAAAGAACTGCTGGAGAAGCTCAGTATCAGCTGTGAAAACTAGGCCTAGTGCTGATTGTGGAACAGATCACCAACTACTCATATGCAAGTTTAAGATGAAGCTAAGGAAAGTGAAATCAAGCCCACAGGAACCAAAACATGACCTTGAGTCTATCCCACCCGAATTTCACAACCATCTCAGGAACAGGTTTGAGGCCTTGAGCAAAGACCAGATGAGTTATGGAGGAGTATATTAAAAGATACAATATGAAGTAGAACTTATATGTCAAACTAGTTCCAGTTGATCATTTGATTGATAAAAAGCCCAGCTTCTCCTGGGGCACAAAAGTGGAAGTCACATTCGAGATGAGAGTGTAGTGGGGAGCAGGACTCCAGCTTGGCAGCCACTTACATCCACTTCTGGGTCTGCTGCCTAGGATTCTGAAAGTTGCAAAACGAGCCCTTGGAAAGAAACACCTGGAAGGAGCAGGTGAAAACTCCCTCATAGACTGATATTGATCCATTGATCAGCTCAGGACAAAGTTTTTCACCTATTTTTGGTCATGACTGTGGTATAAAGGGTTTATTGTTCAAAATATGTGTGTAAATGGAGTCGCTGTTGCTTGTTTTGAGATGTATTCACTGGAACATGCACCACTTCCACGAGGTACAATTCAGTGGCGTTAGCTTTCAAATATTGCCTTTTGAATTCCCCCATAGAGCTCACTGGGAACATGGAAATAGGGTATACATACTACCAAAGAAGGGACGGGTCAGTCTGGCCATCCCACCAAGGTTAAATTTAGCAAATTTGTCAGGAAAGAGAAATCTCACAACCAACAAAAAAGAAGAAGCAGAGAAAGAATGCAGTGTTTATCCTCCAGGCGACAGAGATTCCTCAGCTGGTCAGACCAGGACCTAGACAAGAGTAACAGCAATTGTGGAGAATCAGAGATCAATATTGGACAGAGCTGACCTGGGACTGACCCTATGGAACCAGAGTTTGACATCTCTGTCCAAGCTTGCTAGAGGACTGGAGAAAAAGACTCTAATTGTCAGGACTAAGAGACTGTCTAACCCAGACCCACAGGCTGAACGTAAAGCACTTTAAGCACGCTTGAGAAGCTGTCCTGACAGAAGAACTGTGTCCTGTTTCCAGCTTGAATTATAAACTGTTAACTTTCCTAGTAAATCGCAAAATTGTGAGTTCTGTGTGGCCATTAAAACATATTAGCAGGCCTAGTAGTAGTAGAGCAATGGAGCACTGGGTGAGATAGTTGATCAAAAAATTGGTAGAAGTAGGTGCTGGGGAGGGTAGGTAGCATGTTTTACCTCTTGAACATAAAGTTTGTTCTATGAATGTTGTTCATGGCAACTGTTCTCTGTTTTAGAGTTACTGGAAATCAGACACAGCTGCCCTTATGCCAGGGCTCTCTTTTTACAATGACCCATAAGAATAAATGCATTTTCCATTGTAACTCAAAATACACATGTGTATGTGTATGTATGTGTTTGATTCCAAAAAGTAATTGTCCTTTTAGCAAACAATAGAGTCAAATATTTTCTAGTTCATTATATTTTCCCAGTGCTGGTCAGAATCACTAAATTTACCTCACGACTCAGAGTGAAAAGAATTCCTCTGTAGGATATTTCACAGAAAGACTCATGAAAGCCATGTGCGCTTCAGTCAAGTTCCTCCCGCAAGGAAGTAAAAAAACAAACATGGCATGTTACTTCACAGGGCTGCTGACCTCTGCTGAAGAAATTGTTTCTGGCTGCCTCCCTCTAATGCTGTATCCAGTTATTCAAGGGCTTAGCAACAGAAAAGTAAAAAGGAGAGCAACAGAAAAGAAAGAGTCACAGTACCTGGATTCCAAACTGTTCACTAAGGTTGGTGAATAAGTATTCATAACCATAAGCTGCTTTGCAGTTCAGCCACACCACATGGTAAGGACTCCGAGTAATCCAGCTTCCAACCAGCTCTGAGATTCCATTTAAACATTCTTCCTATAAAGGATTTTAAAAGACATCTGTGATGCTTGCTTAAAAGTTGGCTTTTCTAGCCACTAAGTTAGCCCTCTCTGATCTCCAGCTATCTCAACTGTAGACACATGGTCTTGGAAATAATCAGTAGCTGTGGGACTAGGATAAGAGAAAAAGAGTGCTTCCCACACTGAGCAAGCAAAACTTGAGGCAGACTCGAGCAAGACCCTGTGAGTGAGACAATGGTGTTGGTGGTGGAGAGACTGTGGCATTGCAGTGGAGAAACTGTGGTAAGGTGTTACTTGAGGGTTATTGCATTTGTGCTGGCTACAGTTAAAGATTTTGCTGTTCTTGCCGGATGCTTGAAGGAGAACCTGACTTACAACTGCTCTGAGGCAAACTCAGCAGGATGATTGAAGAAGCCGGAGGCTTCTTAAATTTGTGTTGAGACCAGGACTTTTATAAAATAAGAAACTGCATTTGCTATTAATCTGCCTTGAGGCTGCTGGACTACATCTGGACTTGCATTGTGAGATAGTCTTTGCTTCTCCCACTCCCAACCTATTTCCCTAATAAACCCCACACTTGATACCATAACTGTGAGTGAAACCTTGAGTCTACAATGAATACTGAATTCAGTGATTCGTGGAAATACGTGCAGAAGCATGGGGGGTGGCACATCCTATCTGTTTGCTGATATGGATATTATTGATGGGGATAGTTACCATTTAAGAAGCAGGTGGAAGACAGATTTTGCCATCCCCCATTTCATCTGCTCCTTTCACAGCATTTAAAACTTAAGAGGATCTGTTACCTTTTCCATCCCCACTATACAACGATGACAATGTATATGGGGACAATTATGAACTGATTTCTTTCTTTTCTTTTTTTTATTAAATTTTATTAATTTTAATGAACATTTTGGGCTTCCATTCATTCATTGTTGCACTATTTTCTCTACCCTCCACCCCAGTTCATTCCTCTTTTTTTTTTCTCCTTGAAAGTCTGTTTTAATTGTCCCATTGCCACAGTGCTTGTCAAAGCCAGATGAACTGCTTTCTTATCTTATAAAAGCTTCTACCAAGCCAACAGTGGGTGATTTTAATCTGCGGCCCTCAGGCCTGGTTTTAATTGAGGTCAAACAGCCTTCTAAGTGGTATAGTACTAGTCTGTCCATTTGCTGTACAGAGGTAACTCGTGGTTGCTGAGATGCTGAACACTGTGACACTGACGTGTCAAATGCAATAATGGTTACCCATGGTGGACAGTGTTTGTTGGAGCTTCCCAATTAAAACAAACATGGAAGCAGGAGTGGAATCCACTTCCAAAATGGCTTACCTCTGGAAACTCTATGACTGTGGAGAAACAATGAAAGTTATACAAGTGTTCAGGTCTTTCACTTATAAGGTCGCTAGTAGTCATCTATGTATGACTCAAAGGCACTTAACACAACATTAGATACATGGTCTAGTTCACATTATGCCTTCTTTCCTTCAGGGAGACTTACCCGACTTGGAATTTGATAGTATTTTGGATCACAGAAGGTAGTATCTAAATACACACTTTGGATATCTTTTACACTGAAAATAAGACACACAAAAAGACAATTGGTGTTAATCATCTAGCATAACATAAATATGTGTAAAATTTAAATTCTCAGTTATTTCAGATTCTTCCATTCTATTAGGAATTTCTGTTGCTGTTGTTAAAGCAACTTTGTTGAAGTCATTTACATAAAATATATAAATTTAAATGCATACTGTTGTTGTTATGCACTGATAAGTCAACTTGACTCCAACTCATAGCAACCCTGTCAATAACAGATGGCCCTATCCTATGCCATCCTCATGATCTCTAACATTAAATGTACAAATATCAGAGTTACATAGGTTACCAGGAGCTAGATGTAAAGGGCAAAGGGATATTGGGGTGATCTCCAACATCAAATGTACAGAGGTCACAGTTCCACAGGTAGATGTAATAGGCAAAGGGAAACTGGTATTTAGCAAAAACTGAGCTTCTGCTGAGGGTAATAAGAATTTTGCAATAGGTATTTTGATAGTTGCAAAACATAATTTATGTATTTGTTGTCACTGAATTAAACATGTGAAAAATATTGAAATGGCAAATGTTCTGTCAGCAATATATTCACAAGTTTACATAAATTGGCTTGGTGAATTCATGTCAACATTACTTCAATCAATATACAAAATCTTTTCACTACTCCATCTGAAGGAGAAAAATCTGCTCTACTATGATAAATCTGATATAAGTAGTTAGATATTTGAGGTGGGGTTCCATTCCAATGACAATCAGAAGTCAGTTCTGATGTAAATTAAATACCTCATTTTTTCCATTAATAGAAAATAGAATTTCCATTATTATTGTCTTGTATTTTTTTATTATTATTGTCTTTTCTTATTGGTATCTTCATAAACCCAGTATTTACTTATCTTTGAGAGCACTACCTATAAACTTAGATATATTTTAATATATATGTACCTAAAAAGTACAAAAATAATAAAAATATAATCAGCTGATAAGGAAGAATTGGGTAACACAGGCATTTTGTCAGCTAGGGTAATTCTCCACTTGTGAAAGGTTCTGGGTTATCTGAATTACCCCTTAGATTAGAGATTAGCTTTTATACTCAGAAAATTATCGAAAGTTGTCTGTCTGGTTCTTTTCTTTCTTTTCTTCTTATACATGGACCCAACAGAGTGTAGAAACTATAGAACAATATCACTGATTTCACATGTAAGCAAGATTCTACTGAAGATGATCCAAAAACGACTGCAACAGCACATCAGCAGAGAACTGCCAGAAGTCCAGGCTGGGTTTAGAAGGGGTCATGGTACTAGGGATATTTTAGCTGACGTCAGATGGATCTTAGCTGAAAGCAGGGAATACCAGAGGAATGTCTCTCTCTGTGTTTCACTGACTATGCAAAGGCATTTGACTGTGTGGATCATAACAAACTGTGGCTGACTCTGAGAAGAATGGGAATCCCAGAACATTTGATCGTGCTAATGTGAAACCTATACTTGGACCAAGAGGCAGTAGTCAGAACAGATCAAGGAAACACTGCATGGTTCAAAATTGGGAGAGGTTGT